GCACCGGCTGAGAGAAAGGAAGTGGGAACTAAACTTCCACTGGCGATGGTGTTGCTTCGCATAAATGAGTCTGTACATCTGACATCGCTAGTAAATTCAGTCCTATTTCCGCGTGCATGTCTGTGCACTTGCTGGTGCTTTTCTCAAATTCGGATCGTGGGTTTCCTCAAGCAGGGCTTTGCTGCGTCTCTGTACCACATTGAGCACAGGAAGACATTTGTCAAAACTTCTGTAGCACGTGAACAGAGAACAAACTCTGAGTAGGGGAAATGTGTGAATCCAATCTGCTGGCCCACTGCCTTTAGAGAAATGGACTCTCGGAAGCCGCTTTCCCTGGCTTCATCCCTGCTCCTTCTCCTTGCTCCCTCTTAGCACTGCTAGGTGAGTCGCACTCCGCCGAGGCAGACTGCCTGATTCCTCCCTGTCCTTCTGCGTGCTTAAGCAGGAGAGGAGAGAGAGGGCAGGAGACACCAGGACTGCAGGAGGTGCAATCCTTTCTGCTTTGGCTGCCATCGCTGAAAAGGCTCCTCTGTGCAGGTGGGTGGCAGAGAGCCCTCTCCTCTCCGGGTTGCCTTTGTCCGGCAGTCTGCTGCTTTGCTCCTGCCCCCAGGACCCGCCCTCCTACCTGGCTGCCAGGTGAACCAGCCTCTCAGAGTTGATCTGTTGTTTCTCTGCAGAAAAAGGAAAGGAAAGAGTCAGTTTGCAAGCTTAGAAGTACAACAGAAACCCTGGGTTTAAAGATGCTTTACTTCTTCTTGGGGAAGGAGAGGAAGAGCAGAGAAAGAGCCTGAACGCTCAGCACCAGATGATGTCCCCGTGGCATGACAGCTCAGTGAGCAGCTGTGAAAAAGCCCCACACGTGGCTCCCTTCTGCTTCTGTGTGCGGAAAATCTTACACAGAAGGGCTGGTATGCCCCTTGTTGGGGGGGCTGGCTGTTATCCTTGTCAAGGTGCTTGGCATTGTGCTCTGTAGGGAAGAACAAATACTGTCCCTATGGTAGAAGTTCAGGGAAACTGAGGCCAGAGGGCAAGAAGTGCCTGCTGTCATGCAGCTTTTTGGACCAGCCACCCCCCCCCGCCCCCATCTGACTGTGAAAGGTCTCCCCATCACAAGATGCCAAATCCCACTGGGCTGGACAGGCTGTTGCCAGCTCACTTGGGTGTGATGTATAAATGCTGCTGTTAGACCAGGATCTCCCAGCTAGGAGATGGTTTGCCTAACTGACTCCTTCCACATCAGGACAAAGTTACAGAGCACCGGACGCAAACCAGTCCTCCTGCATCGTCTGCCAGATAAATTGTCCTGGAAGAGATAGCAGTTTAAATGAAGCATTTGGTTTTGCTGCTGGGACTGTTATTTAGAGCCAGACTGTTACCTGCAAAGCTGCAGGGAACATCTCATTGTCTCTAAAAAGAAAATAATAATCTCGTGTACTAAATCTCTCTCTGCTGGCTGTTTGTGAAGTGCCAGCAGGTCAGCAAGGAAAGGTGACAAATGTTAACACCGGGGCAGGGCTTCGGGCAAAGTTCAGCCGTGAGTCCAGACCTGGAGATTCCTTCTGAGCTGGTTTGGGGCAGCAATGGCGAAGCACTCTGCGAACAGTGGGTTTTGCAGGGCTGGTGCCCGCAGCCTGTGTTTGCTCAGCACCTTACGCGAGGGGCCCAGGCGCAGGTGCGGTTGTGGTGCTAATAACACACCAGCACGCCGTGTTATCAGGAGGCAGGGAGGGCCCTGAAACCAAACCCGCGTGTGTACCTGCAGCTCGGTTCCACCTCTGCTTGCCTGCAAACTATTTAAGTAGCTTTTCCTGAATGCTGTGTACCTGGGCTGGGCTGGCTTTGGGGAGCGCAGCTCGGCAGAGCCGCAGGGATCAACCTGTTGCTGCTCTGCGTGGAGGGAGGTGAGTTCTGGCTTCTGGCTTCCTTTCAGCCTGGCTCCTGTGAGCTTCCCAAATCTTCCTTCTCCATCCCTCTGCCCCTGTCCTTACAGATCAACAGTTCAGATGATTTTCCTAGTCTGCACTGGCATTTCTTAACAGCTAAGCCAATCCATCCCTCTGTATTCTGTGAACAAAATAAAAAAATGTAATTGATGGGTACTGGAACAAAATGCAATTTAAATAGAAAAGGGTTCATAATCTGTCGCAACTGGGTCTACGACTTGATTGCTGTTGACAGCTTCTCATCTCTGGCTGTATATGAGTATTGCTTCTGGGTAAACTGGGATTTATCTTTTTTGTTAAAGCCCTCTGAGGGTGTGGAGGGGGGAAGAGACAGGTCTTTTCTTACCTACTGATAAGAAAGTCAGCCTCTCTGCCTCAAAACTGAAATTCTCAGGCAGCTGGGGAGAAGGACAGATTCCTGCTTCTTCCCCAGTGCTAGAGGTGTCACTGTGACAAAAAAGGAAGAAAACCATTTTTTTCTCTGTGTGTGTGCGTGTGTGTGAGAGAGACATCTTTTACTTAATGTTTAGGGGTTACCTTGGGATAAGTCCCCCTCTGTAAGCCCTCCAGACCCTGGACTACAGCAGAGAGTGGACATTACATCTCCTTTCCAGGTCTAGCTTAGAGTGATGGTGGCTCAGTTAATTTTGGCTTGTGAGTTTGCTTCCTCCAGCTAACAGCACCGAGGCTTGTGCTGCTGGAGCTGCAGGGCTGCAGCTTAAATTCCTACCCCAAGGCTGTCAGCCAGCTGGGCACCCATCATAAACGAACAAGGCTGAGACATCCTGTGTCTAGCCCACATCTAAGAAAGGTGGTTGCTGCCTCCAATCGCTTCCTTGCAGATAGAGTGCATCTGAAGTAATGCTGAGCATATCTGGGGCCTCTGAGTATTCCTTTGAAGCCATGTCTAGTGATTAAAGGAAAACTGTTGCTCTTCCCTCTCTGCCGTTAGCTTGCTATTTGACCTTGGGCAAGTCACTTAAATGTTCACAGTTGTTAAAAGGTGGTATCTCTTGTGACAGTCAAGGTCCAAGTGAGCGTGGAGGGGGAAGGTGAAGGGTCCTGGGAGGAAATAATAATCAGTACTTACTGTGTGTAATTGGCAGCCTGTCAACTCCTCAGCCCAGGAGTGGTGCCTCTCCTCTGCAGCAGCAAGAGGCGGAGAGCGGTGCTTGCATCTTTGTAAAAACCTCATCGCTACACTTCCAGCTTCACCTAGTCGTTTCCCTGTGGGTTATTTGGCTGATGGCAAGAGGGGAAGGAACAGAAAAGTGAGAATGCGGAAACTGTCCCAACTGTACCTGTCTACCAACACTTGTGCAGTGATGGAGGTCAAACGTATGTGCTCTGTGAAGTTAGGGAACACCATTTGCACCATGTTTGGTGATAAAGTGGAGTTTTATCTCTGCACAGCGGCAAGGCTATGGTCCAGCACACTGCTGGTTCAGCAGCTCCTCCTGCATACACACTTTGCATCCCACTTGGACCTCTGACGAGCAGCCGTTCCAGCTCTGCGAGGTCCGACCCGCCCTGCCAGGCAGGGTCTCCAGCACTGGTCGCCTGAGCTGCTGAGGAGGGAGGCGAGTGTTGGCCTGGAGAAGTTCCCTGTAGGAGTCTTCTCCTCTCCCCTGTAATCGAGGCAAAGAATTTAGAGAGGGACCAGGCTGCAAAACTGGATTTTTACCTCGTTTCTTCTGATGGGTTCACTCTCTGCAGCTAAGTAAGGGAAACTCTGTACCAGCTAGCTGCTCTGGCATGGAGGGGGTGTACAGGCAGGCAGGTGTGCAGTTACAGCTTCCCCGCAGCCAGGGAGGGAGCAAGTGGAGATAAACTCCTCCGCCTGTGTGTCTCACATTCTGTTCAGCCTCCTTCATCCAAAGGACTTGGGGGCTGTGCTCTGGTGGGACAGGAGGCAGAAGCCAGAAGCTTCTGTGCAAGCTGGGAGCACACTGCACAGTCCAGAAATGGGTCATAAGCTGAAGCACGTTCAGGCCAGCAGGACCTGTTATGCCTTGTCCCCACAGAGAAACTTGGCGGTGGCTCATTTAGGGTGAGAAGTTAGACCATGTGAATCCTGAGAATTAGACTGCAGTTTGTTTTACTCCTAAATCGACATCTGTGCAGGAGCTTAATGTCACCCTTCTTGCTAACCCATTCTACCTTTCCCAGCAACTACATCTTCCTGAGATGCTTGTAGGAAAATGGCAGTTTGGTGGACTAGCCTAGATGCTGGTAACCTTGCAGAATTTCTTACATTTGTAGACTGACACAGTGGCAGACTCGTAAGAGGTTACTAAGAGGCATCTGCTTACTCTTGCCTTAGCTGTTTAGCCCCTGTCCTGATCTGCTGGCCTCTCCCCTCTGAAGAAGGCTGGAGAGAAGGGAGCATGTTACAGGGCAAATAAATGACTCAGACTAATGAGTGAGGTAATTGCCGTTCACTGTTAGATGAGGCTAAAGTGGGTCAGGTTTGTTTGTGAAACTCCATAGAGGCACCATCTGTTCTCTGTGCCCCGTCCCAGGGGCTGGAGACAGGATTTGGGCAAAACTGCTTCCCTGGGAACCCGTGGAAGATGCCCCGGTCATTAGGCAGTGGCGTGGGTCTCTAGAGATGACCCTGTGTGACTGCAGGCAAGTGTCTGCAGCCCTGGTCCTTGAAGGGACACTTAATTGATTTCACTGGGAGAGGGGACCCTAAATCCTTTGTCTCTCTGCTACAACTGCCCATCTATGAGATGAGGCTGGACAGGACACTGAGAGGTCATTAGACCTCCCTTAGCCTGAAGGCGGGATTGGATTTTCCCAAACCATGTCTGACAGGTGCCTGTCTCACCTGTCACAAGCCCTTGGAGAGAAACCTGGCGCCAATGCAGCTCATGTTTTTTAACTCTGCTGCTCTCCCAGATGTCCTCTCTTCATCCTCCCGTGCCTGCAAGCCTTTTGGGGACTGTCTCTTTCAGCGACGACATGTCTGTGGGGTACCTACCTGGTTTTAGCCCTTTCCCATGCCCTGGACCGCGCTGTGTCTAACAAGCCCTTTCTTCTCTCAGACCACAGCGTGTGAGCAGAAGGGGAAGCGCGGAGTGGGACCCCTGCCTGCCCACGCCTGGATTCGACATTGCTGGGGCCACATCTTGCAATAAGAGGAAGAGGAAAAGACGGTTCATTCACCATCGCTGAAAATGGGAGGCAGCATCTGTCCAGCAGACCAGGAAGGGAAGCTCCAGACCTTGCCTGTGGGGCATCCCTGGGAGTGCCGCAGCCGGAGCGACACAGCCCTCTGTCAGTAAGGGGTGTCAGGGCAGCATGGCTCAGAGAGCCTGGGTCAGCATGCTCTTCCACAACCGCAAGACCCAGCTCCTGCTGGTCAACTCCCTGACGTTCGGCCTGGAGGTCTGCCTGGCCGCAGGGATAACCTACGTGCCTCCGCTGCTGCTGGAAGTGGGCGTGGAGGAGAAGTTCATGACCATGGTTTTGGGTAGGCAGTTTTTCTCTCATCTTCGAGGTCCTTCTTTACCCTTTGAGTCTGGAGGACAGGGGCAAATAAGGGCTTGTCTCTGCGGGGTGGTTGCAGGGCTACTGTTACATCAAGGGCAGGCTTGTGTTTGGAGGAGGGGGCTGTCACCCAGTGAAGCTTACTGAGTTCCTGAAACGTCCCAGGCTTTTTTTACAGTGCATATAGACCAGTGTCCTCCAGATCTGTCCCCCTAACACCACCTCTTTCTCTTTTCCAGGGATAGGACCTGTCCTTGGCTTGGTTTTTGTCCCACTGATCGGATCCGCCAGCGACCACTGGCACAGCAGCTATGGCCGAAGGCGACCTTTCATCTGGATGCTTTGCCTGGGAGTCTTGCTGAGCCTCTTCGTTATCCCACATGCCAGCAGCCTGGCCAGCCTGTTTGCCCTCAACACTCGGCCGCTGGAGATTGCCTTCCTCATCCTGGGCATCGGGCTACTGGATTTCTGCGGCCAGGTCTGCTTTACTCCACTGGAGGCCCTGCTCTCAGACCTCTTCCAGGAGCCAGACAACTGCCGCCAGGCCTTCTCCATGTATGCCTTCATGATCAGCTTGGGGGGCTGCATCGGCTACCTCCTTCCAGCCATTGACTGGGGTGGCAGCTTTCTGGCCCCGTACCTGGGAGGGCAGGAGACCTGCCTCTTCAGCCTCCTTGCCATCATCTTCCTCGGCTGTGTGCTGGCCACGCTCTTTGTGACAGAGGAGGCAGCCACCCAGGCAGATGTTCTGGATGGCCCCGCGCTGAAGGACGTTCCCCCTAAGTCCTCACCTCCTGCCTGCTGCTCTTGCCAGGTCTCCAGGAGCTCGTGTCTGCTGCAGGCCAGGCACATGATGCAGGCCCTGAGAAACCTTTGCACGCTGGTGCCACGGCTTCACAGCCTCTACTGCCGCATCCCCAAGGTCATCCGGCGCCTGTTCGTGGCCGAGCTCTGCAGCTGGATGGCACTCATGACTTTCATGCTGTTCTACACGGACTTTGTTGGGGAAGGGCTGTACCACGGCGTCCCCAGAGCCAAGCCAGGCACGGATGCCAGACGCCACTACGATGAAGGTGAGAAGTAAACCAGCTGCTCTGAGGCTGCAGCTCCTGTTACCTTGGACAGGAGCGTTTAGTGGGAGCTAGGAATGGGCTCAGCTTTGCTAGTAATGCAAAAAAAAGTTACAGGAAACTAGACTTTCTGAAGATGGATCAGGAAAAAACATTCCCCCGTGGCCCCCAGAGCATTGCACAGAGGACCAAATAGGGAAATGCCTCTTTCTTCTCCAAGCTACCCAGAGCAGAACTAGATCTGGCCGTGCAGCCCTGGCCTGGGGCTGAATTGTTAAGTGGCAGAATGGTCTGGCAGGTTGCATGCTGAACAGGATATATCCGGCTCTGTCTGCAAGCTGTGGTTACCGCTGCCAGGTCCTTTCACTGCTCTTCCCTCCTTTTTAAATGAGGTGTGATGGTGCTCCCCAGCTCTTGGAGAGCAGGGGTTGGAAAGCCTGGACACATTCAGTAGCAGTGAGGTGGGCTTTGCCGCATCTGCCTTTCATGCTGCTGTGAGATTCCCTTCTCACATCTGTATCTGGGGAGCCCCTGAGCAGCTTCTCCAGTTCTCACCCCTGTCTGCAGTGCTTTCTGATAGTACTTGCCGCTAGAGTCTATAGCTGCCACGTCCGCATCATGGGATACTGCTCACTGCAGCACGTTACCTGCTTACTGTTATTGCCTGCTGTCCCATTTTTGCTGCTGTGTTGTGCCAGAGCCTTGACTCGCTGCCTAGCCCTCCTTTTCCTCTCTCTGATCTAAGTCTTTTATTCTTGGAGGCACCTACCTGGCCCTCCTCCTCCAGCTGAATATCTTGCCCTCTGAGTTTTCCACTCACTGCCTCCGTGAGCTCTGCAGTACACTGCCTCTTTGTGCTGAGTGTCTGTTTAACTTCGAGGGAGCTTAATTATTATTTAACACTTGCACTGTATAGCTTCTAGCAGGTCAGGACTCCATTGTGCTAGCTGTCATAGAAACATGTGTTGAGTAATGATCCTTGCTGCAAAGAGTTAATGGGTTTAATTCCTTGAAATCTGATAGATCTTTGCAAAGGGTAAGGTCCGGATTGCTACCGGATACTGCAGTCATTTAGTGGATGTTGTATACTTTACCTTGGCTTAAGCACAATCCCTTGTTTCTTTTGTTCTGTTGCTGGTTTTCACATCAGATAACAACAGATCCTGGTTCACCAGCCGGTGACAGATCCTGGGGCAAGAGTAGGAAGGTGCAAACAACAACCTCCAAAGACAAGAATGGCATTCCTGTTCCTGTCTCCTATCGCCCCTCTGGTTAGACTGGGGTGCCCAGGAGCATGTGCAGGAAATACTGGCTGCTGGTGGAGGGTGGGAGCTGCAGTCTGGCTGGTGCAACCCTGCGGTATGTTAGGGGATGCTGCTCTGCTTCCTGACCCAGCCGTGTTGTTGTCAGGGCTGTTGGCAGCTGTGCCACACTCTGCGTGGACTGTACCGAGTTGGGCACCGAAGGAGAGGGAAGGAGGCCCAAAGGTGTTTGGCTGGGTGAAGCCTGGATGCAGCCAGGGCAGTGTCTGTCACCACCTCTGCTTACCTGCAGGTGTCCGGATGGGTAGTTTGGGCCTCTTCCTGCAATGCATCACATCCATCTTCTTTTCGACAATCATGGACCGGATGGTGAAGCAGTTTGGGACACGGGCGGTCTACCTGGCCAGCGTGGTGTTCTTCCCCGTGGCTGCCTTCGTCATGTGCCTCTCCCACAGTGTCATTGTTGTTACCATCTCAGCTGCTCTGACGGGCTTCACCTTCTCTGCACTCCAGATCCTGCCATACACACTGGCATCACTGTATCATCACGAAAAACAGGTAGGGACCTGCTCCAGCGGGCTATGTGCCAGGTAGCTGTGAGGACAGCTTGGCCAGCCTCTTTTGCCACTTGTAGCTGGTACAGTCAGTTCAGCCCATGGAAGAGAAACACATGCCTGTGTGTAAACGTTTTGCACGTGTGCCTCTTCTCTCCAGGCTGTGTCTTCTCTGAAGATTCATCTGAAATGGGGGAGATGAGAGAGTTCAGCATCTCCTTCCTTAGGCATCCCCTGCTCACAACAAGCATCGTGCAATTTTAAAAAGTAGGGAGTGGGTAAGATGGGAGAAATCACCTAGGATTGATGTACCAAAAGGGATCTCCTATGTTCCTCTGTGTTCTGCATATTCTTAGGGAAACTGGTTCAGGTTAGTTATACCTGTGTGCATTTTGTAACCAAGTCACATCTGCAGCGCTGCCAACCTGAGGTGCTAAAAAACTCAAGAATTTTCAGCCCTTAGAGGTCCTGCTTTCCAATTTTTGTCCATAGCATGAAGATCAGTAAAATGAAAACTGAGGTTCTTCCTATTCCCCTAGCTCCAAGAAAAATAAATGTTGTGAAACTTTTGACACCAAAACAAAAGCTAGTAATCCTGTCCCACAGATGTTATCCTTGTGGGGAAGTCCTAGGAGGTTCCTGAGTTGCACACTGGATTAATAGGAGTTTCTCTTGTGCTGCAAATGCAAAATTAATTTGTGGTTTGAGAGCAGCTCTTTCATCCCAATGGCAGGCAGTTCACTGTGCAGTGAAATAAGTAGGAGTTTTTACCACAGGCATCCAGATGTTCACATTGAACAAATACTTCTGACCAACCCATCCCAATTTGCACCAGGCACCCTGTCAAAATAGGGGTACAAGGGAGTGTTCTGCTTTGCAAAAACTTCAGTTTGGCTGGGATCTCCCATGGACATAATATCAACAGAATGAAAACCAAACTCCACAGGCTGAGAATGTGAAGGCCACACGCCCAACTGTTTGCCAAAGGCTTGACAGGGAAACGCTCTTAGTACAGTGAGGTGTGGGGTGTAGCTGGCTTTGGTGCCTCTGTTGCCCTAATTTGAAAGTTCCTCCTTCCTTTACCAACTACTTTGCAGCAGGCTGCAGGGAGACCCCACAAGAAGTAGTCTCTAAAATGCCTTTTGCAGAAAATTCTCCATCTGCCCCATTTCTGTTCTCTTCTTTTTTTCTTAACTGTTGAAATCTGTCATCGTTTTTGTTTGCCTTCCCTCGTTCCTGCTTCTTCTCTTCCCTCTCTTTTTTTACTTTTTTTTTAACTTTAAACACTCCTCCCGAAGCAAATCGGCAGAAGGGGCATCCAAAGTGGCTGTTGCTTCCACTCTGTGCGGGATCGTTGGCAAAAGCCTGCAAGGCCACCTCAGCTGGAGCTCCTTGCTTTGCAGAGGCTGTGTAAGTCGCTCTGTTCTCCTGCATGCCCTCTCCTCTTCGCATGGCCACTAACCCTTGTCTAGAACGGGAGGAAAAGATCTGCATGTTCTAACAGTGGCTGAAAGTTTGGTAGAGGTGAGATGCATGGTGGGCACTCACACCTTCTGCAGGAGATTAGGGAGAGCTAGGTTCCTCATTCCCACCACTCCCCATCAACTATAGAGGGAGATGAAGCTGTTGACTGAGACACCAGTGACTCATGTGGTTCTGTCCTGTGTTACAAGGGGTGATTTTAAAGCATAAGTTCTCACTAAGCACATTCTTGTGAGTGTTGAAGTCATTCTCTCCAGATTTAAATCAATTCTCCACACTAGGTATTCAGACACCCCTGCCGGAACTCATACCTCTGAAGTCCTAGCCTGGATCAGTATAGAAACCAAGAAAATGTGGCGCAGGCCTTCAGGGCAGCTGAGCAGGCTTCTGGGAACATCAGTGTCAAATAGGAAGGGCTGGAACTGTGGGGGATAGCCTAGTTTGGCTCACACAATGCCCTTTCTGTGCTGGGTTTTGAGTTGCTTTGAAGTCTGATGGCAATAGGAGGCACGTGGGAGGATTTTTAAGCTCCACATAAAATAAGTGACGGTCCTGGATTGGTGCATTTAAGCGTAAATTCATGAGCCTAGGCAGAATTGAGGAGCTGAAAGGTATAGTGAGCAGCTGAGCAGAGCCCAGGTAAAGCTTTTGGAAGATGATTGCTATTCAGCGAAGCTCTTCTCATCTGGTTTCTCTTCTCCGATTGAATCTGAAACTGTTTGTGCTACAGATCCGCAGCCATGGCCTGGGGCAGCATGAACAGAGACTGGCTGGTGCTGACATACACTAGGGCAGGGCTGGGTGTAGCTGGGTGGGTGCCAAGACTGCGGAAAGCTTTGGGATGGCCTGCAACAGATCTGGAGTGCCCACGCTCCTGCACCAGCGGTTCCCTCCCGTTCGTCTGTGTGCAGGTCCCTCCTGCAAAAGGGAGGATAGTTCAGGCAAGCCCCTCTGAGCCCTGCAGCTGGGTAGAGTGCTCTCTGTTCTCAACCAGGTGCTATTTTTTTCCTTTTTATTTTCTTTGTTTGTTCAATCTCACCATGCGGATAATGGATTAACATGTCCTTCGTTATCTGCTCTACCCCATGCAGACCAGCGGTTATGCATAATTGTAAATGCCCTGGAGTTTTAAAGCTGGAGCTCTGCAGCGTTTTCACTGTCTGCACATGACTGCCCATTATTTGTTGGCGTTAACGTGGAGAGCTGTTTGATCCAAATATTCTGTGTGAATACTGCTCGAGTGAGCCGTGCCCCAGAGATCTCACAGCTTGAGCAGAGCGAGGCAAAAAAGGGTGAGAAGAAAAAGATTTTTCTTCCCCCTGCCCCCCTTTTCTAGCCCGAGCGAGGAGGCTCAGGTCAGGCAGATGAAGCAACTCAGTTGAGGTCATGCATGCAGGGTCTGTTGCAGAGCTGAGAAAAGAGCTCTTTCCTGAGTTCCCAGCACTGTACCATCTCAGCTGGTGTCACTTTTTAAATATTCCAGATACTAAGAAGTGGCCGTGGATCCAGGGCTCTGAACTGTTCGTCTGCTCTTTGGGCTTTTCTGCGGGAAGGTTTTGGGCTCCCAGTCGGCCGCTTTATAAACACTTCTCTTTGCACCAGAGCGGACTATCTGGCTTTGTGATACGTTCAAAGTGGGCTCTTGCCCTTCCGTCCTGTCCTGCAAGTGTGCATCAGCTGATTTCAGGATGGGGTGAGCTGTAGTTGGTGCCCAGATTCCCCTGGCACCCAGTGAGGAGGTGACAACCCAGGGCTCAGTGCAAAATGTCCCCAGGCAGAGCCTGGGCTGGCTTTGGGCTGCAGCAGCCTGCTGAGCCCCACAGCTTCAACACAACAAAGGCACCACTTGGCCAGATTCCCCCAGTGAGTCAGGGTTGCTTTGAATCCCGTGCCAGTCGGGAAAAGCCAGGCTGGCTCCTGAAGGCCATCTCACGTGGGCCAGGCGCTCCCCACCTCTAACAGCCTGACCCAACGCACGCAAAGCACAGAGTGGTTTGCTCTCTTGCACAAAAAAAGGGGCCGCCTCTGCCCCCCACCTCGCTTGCTGGGCTCCACCTTACCGACTCATTCCTCACGTGCCCTCCTTCTTTCTCCTAGGTATTTTTGCATAAATATAAGAGCGAAGAGGAGGAAGACGCAGCTCGATTGGAGAAGAAATCAGCTTTCTCTAAAGGCCACCTTCCCAGCCAGAAGCTGCCTTACCAGAATGGACATGCTGGGAGCCTCTTCTCTTCTTCCTCTCCCTCCTCTTCTCCTCCAGCCGCCGGCTCGGCTCTGTGCGTCAGCTCCTCCTGCGACGTCTCGCTCATGATGATGGTGGGAGAACCGGACTCAGTGGCTCCTGGCCGAGGGATCTGCCTGGACCTGGCTATTTTGGACAGTGCTTTCCTCCTTTCTCAGGTTGTCCCCTCCCTCTTCATGGGGTCCATCGTCCAGTTTACGCAGTCAGTGACTGCCTACATGGTGTCAGCTGCTGGCTTTGGCCTGGTAGCCATTTACTTTGCAACCAAAGTTGTCTTTGATAAGAGTGACATGGCGAAGTATTCGGTGTGATGTGGAAGGCACAAGGGCAGCACGCGGGGGTGCCTGCACGTGACAAAACGAGATGTGTGTTGTTCACATGGCCGTTTGTGCGAAGCCTCGTGTGGAACCTGCTGTCCCCATGCTGTTGCTGTAGCCCCGGAGGGCAGTTCTGGGGCTGGGGGCAGGAGAGGTGCAGCAGGGCTAATCTCAGGTGTAAATAGGAGGCATCGGGGCATTGCGATTCTGGCCATCAGTGCTTTCCAAAGGTGCCTTTATGAAAAGAAGGCGCTGCACAGCCAGCACCAAAGGAGGTTATACAGGGGGGAGAAAGGAAATGGACTTTTCTTTTAATAACGGGTCATGTTTCTGAGCAGGAGAGGCAGTAGTATGGGGAGGGAAGAAATCATTGGCTCTCCTGTTTTCCAGTTACAGCTGTATCCTCTTCCCCTGCTTGCTGTAGTTTTACTCAACTTCTTGAGCAATACTTCTGCAAATAGGACACTGGGAGGAGATCTACTTGGAAAAAAAAAGATGGGTGGCTAACGTTTGGCCATGGAGCAAAGGGGGTGCATATGGGTGCGTGAATGCTTCTGTCCTTCCCCACCTCTGTTCTGACTGGGAGAAACCCTTTAGGAGAAAAGTTACAATGTCTTGTTTCGGAAAAACAAATAAGGTTTCATTAGGACCAATTCCAAAAGGTGACTTATCTTTTACCTATGTACCAGATTGCATCAGATGGAAAGGACTTCTTAATTTTTTTTTTAAATGATGTTTTTAGCTTTCCTCACACAATTGTCAGTAACTCTGACCTCTTACTCCTCAGCGCTCAGAACCGCCGCCTGCTCTCTCCCCTAACAGGTCTAGACTGTTGTGCCTCTTCCACACGTGGCCCCTAAAAGATGCTGCCATATCACAAGGAAAATCTATTCTCAGAGGGTTTTCAGTCCTGTGACAATGAAGTAGAACATAAGAGCTGTCCTGCAAGGCTACCTGGGAACAAGTGTACCCGGCCTGAGGAAGCTGGAGGAATTGCTTGTTCACTGACAACTAGTTGAACTCAGCAGCAGTCACTGCTGTAGTAGGTACCCGGAGTTGGTCGCTGGCTGTGTCTGCTTTCCCTCAAAGATGCATCCCTAAAGCAACCTTCTAGACCAGACTCTTCTTTCCAGACAGAAAGGCTTTTGGCTGTGCTTGCAGGCTGGCAGGAGTGCACCTTGCAGAGCAGACTGCGTCCCAGTACCCAGCACAGTGGCTGAGTGAACACATTGCCAGCATGCCCTGAGAGGCTGCTGGAAGCAGCATTGTAAACAGGAGTGGGTAGGATGAAATGTGCCTACAGCCACTCTGGCAGCTGCTTACAGAGCAGGGTGAGCCTAGTTCTTGGTGTGCTGGGCAAAAGAAGGAGCAGGACAGAAGCTCTTGATGCTGTTTGTGCCTGTGGTTTGCTGATCTGGATTACTTATTTACTGTGTTATGCTTCTTTGGGCTTTTATTTATTTATTTAATTTTATTTCCAGACAGGAGTCAAGATTCTTACTGAGGAACAGCGTAAACACAGTTGCCTGTTAGAGTAAGGCAAAGTGCCTCTTGCTTCCGTAGCACTGAGACCAAATGCTCCTGGATTGTTCAGACTGTTTAGCTCCCAGGTGCGAGTCACCTTCCACTGGCAGAAGAGTGGCTGCAGCTGTGTGTCCTTCTGGCCAGTACCATCATACCATTCTCCATAAGAGTGGACCAGCTGGAATAATTCCGCTGGTGGCAGATTTCTACCACTCGAAGACTACCCATATACCAAGTAGGAGTCAAGGTCCTGTCCCACAGTCAGCACTTAGACTTTGAAATGATCCAAACTCTGCCTACAAGGCGTAGAGGAAAGCGTGAATTGGGCCTTTGGAGGCTAGGCTGTGAGTATGCAGAAGTTGTTCAACAGTCCTTAACTCTGGCTGGTCTAAACAAAGTGTTTGTGACTAATTTTCTGCGGAGGTGTGTGGGCAGTGAGATGCACTTGTGAGGTTCGGCTGAAGGGCAAAATGTTGCTATTTTTGCAAGATCTCGTCAGACTATTCCTTGGCGTGGAAGCGTGGTTACTCCCCTGCTGTCTGCAGATGGGTCCTGAGAGGGCTTCTCCTAAGTTTTTTCAACATTTCTTTCCCGTAAAGGGTCACTGTTTTTGTTTTATTTCTTCTCAAATTATATGCCTACCAGCCTCCCTTTCCCACAACAAGGTTTGTGTGCTGAAATGCAGCTGTTTTGGGGATGAAGTTGGCAGCTGCTTAACCACCTACGGAAACAGTTTTTTGTCTGTACTTCCTACCCTGGTCTCCATCCACTTAAGGCTTCAGGAGGAAGTCTTTGAGGCAAAAAGTTATTGCCAAAGGTGGGGTGTTTCTTGGATGAATGCTCCTAGTGATCAGTAACCTCTGACCCAAGATTTTTCAAACAGGTTCCTACCTGAGTGCTGAAGATCCTTTATTTTTATTTTTTCTTATGTAAAATGTGGGGAACCTTCACACGTGGAGGCTGCTACAATGCTAAGTGCTTTTGATAAATGAGCCATTTCTTTATGTGCCTAAGGAGTACTTCCACACCAAACTTCAGGTATACAGGTTTGATGATTAAGACCTTGAATGCTTCATTACAGACATCCAAGTGATAAAGCAGCGGGCTGGAGAGGGAGACAGCCTTGTTTTATAGTGTCCTTTGGTTTGGAACGTGAAAGAACAAGATGCTGCAGTTCTTGATCCATAACTTGTATCTGTCCCTCAGGAGGAGAAGACTTACCCCAAATGACCAGCCCTCCATCTGCTGAGGTGGCTTTGGTGCAGCTGTAGCCCAGCTGTAGCTGGTGGACACTCGTATGCTTGGTCTCATGGCACCTGCAGCAGGCTCTGTGTCTTGGCTGAGCTGGAAGGCTTGGGAGTAGTTGGTGCAGGCTGGGTCTCAACCCTGTCCTTCACTGATGGATCAAGTGTGCCTTCAGCCTCTCTATTTTCCCATCTCCTTCATTGCACTGGTTCACGGACTTGGCACCCAGATCTCCTTGGCAAGTCTGGCATCTCCATCCAGCGTGCTGGCTCTGATCTCACGCATCCTAGGAGAGGGCAGGCTGGGTTTGTCCAGTTTTCTCATAATTCAGGTATGCTTCTGGGGAGGTGCCTGCCTTTACTTCATTTATGTTCAGAAAAGACTGCTGAGCGACTGAACTTGTGGCTCTGCAGCCAGCTGCTCTTGCTCCTTGCTCTTGCATCCCAGACGAGCACCCATCATCTTGCTTTGGCCTGACCTGTGGCTGGGCTGATAACAGAGCTTGTTCTCTGGAGCTCTCCGATCTAGCTGGAGACACACGACCTAGTCTGAACCAGGGGCTCCTTATCCACTTGTCCTCTGGCTGCGCTGCTCTTGTTTTAGCCAGTTCAGCAAGTATGAGAAGAACTACTTGGTTATCCACCAAGAAACTCTGATTTCTCCCTTCCCCCTGGCACCCTTCTTCCCATTTCTCCATCTGGAGTGAAACCCAGCAAATTCAGTAGTTGCTCCTTTCCTTCTTACCCTCCTGTTACACCAGGAGAAGATTTGGGCTATTTGCCCTGAGAGCGTGGCTGTTTGCAGAAGGAGACGAGGGCTGTAGGAGACTGCCACATGCAGTCAGGTCCTGGGTGGGTGGTGGGCCGTTGGGGAACAAGGGGAGCAGCTTTCTGCGCAAAAGTTCAGCGGGGAGGGAAGACAAGGCAGCAGTCTGAGAGGAGAATGGGGAGAGATCAGGGCGAGGAAGCAGGAGGAAGAGGGAGTTCAGGGGAAATCTGAGGTTTGTAGCAGTGTGAGGGACTGGTATGGGACATTGGCTGGAACTGGGCTGGCTCTGCCCTGGTCATGAGCCTTTGGCACCACGCTGCCCTGGCAGTGGGTGGGAGCGTGCCCCTCGTTGTGGCCTTGCCCTGTCCATAAAGCACTTCATAACCCTTCATGCTTGCTACCTCATGCCAGCGTGATCCCATCCGTGTCATGAGAGCTGGCTGCATAGCCTGAGCTCGGGTCCCGAGCTGGGCTGTCGGCAGCTGCCTTCCCCAAACCCCTAAGGGATGTTGGGCTTGCCGTCACTGCAGTGGCCCTGTGCGTGTGCTCTGTTATTACCAAAAGCCTTTCTTCCTAAGTTCAGGCTGTCGCTGGGGCTGACAGGAGAGGGATTTTCCAGAGCGTCTGTTGAGAAGCTCCTTTCTTTGTAAGATTGTCCTTTCTGGCTAACCCGGTGTGCTTCTGCTAAGAACAGCTTCTCTGTGTTGGGATCAGACATAGACCGGCAAGGGACACAGGCATGTTCTAGTGAAGGTAAGCGCATCCCTTAGATGCTGTTACTGATATAACCTGTGTGAACATAGAAATCTCTCTAGGACTTGATTAAACTGTCCAACAGACAGGTATCGGTACAAGCTCTGCAGAGGCGGTTACCGTGAGTTTTTCTGTTTCGGGTAGTAGGTGCGCTTCTGCTTTCTTCTCACGGGTGAATCCTGCTGCGCCTCTCCTTTCCTTTTGTGAGATGGGGGTGTTGAGGTGGGGAGCAGAGGGGAGAAGGGAGGATGTCTTTTTAATGTGAGACGATTGTGAATCTCTAGGTTAGGGAAGGATGTGTGGACGCTGTTTTTTTTCTTTCGAGACGCGTTTTATTTATTCAGTAGAGTAAATATTTTGTATACGATGTAAGAGGAAGGCTATTATAAATTTTTATCAAAAGGAGGAAATAAAAGGTGTTTAAACGGGACGACCGTGTGTGTCGCGAAACGGACGGCG